GAATAGGTTATTTTATTAGAAAACTTTGTAGAAATATTGATTTAGTCTTTTTACAAGAATTGTTTTCATTTGTTTTAAATTTTAATTAGAATAATTTATAAAGTTTTAGATCTTAAATTTCTGTATTAATTTGCACCAGTTAAGTGGTATTGTTATTAAATAAAAACTATATTTACTAATCATAAATGGAAAAGCTTACTACAACTCAGCAACCACCAATATTTTAAAAAGAATTTTTAATCTTTTTTTTGTGTGTATAAGCATGCTTATTTTTGTAAATACAGACATCCATACATGACATTATGAGAAAATAAGAGCAAAAACTGTAATAAATTTAAAGTCAAAGTACCTAAAATTCAATAAAACATTAAATTGCGGAGAATATTTTCCCAAATTTTTAAGATTATTGGTAGTTAAAATGTACATAAAAAAGGTGCTCACATTCCTCAAGTAATTTTTAGAGTAGAAAAAAATTAGAAAAACTTCCATCTGTCTGTGAAACTGCCAACACCTTTAATCAATACTTATCGCTGTGTTAAAAAATGCATTTCTGCAATATTTATAAATTTATTATTTATTTATAAATTTATTAAATAATATTTGTTTTAAATCAGATTAATTAAACCTTAAATTAGCTAATCTTCCTCAAATGAAGTTTTAGAAAAGTTTACTTTTGAAAAAATTTTTTAATAAAGAGAATAATATTGTGATGACAGATGGCTAAAAATGGCACTTAAATCAGCGATTTTTAGCAATTTCAAAACAAGAAATCCTTTCAGCCAATTAAAATTAGTTTTGAGATGCATCAAAGTATTTTGCTTATTGGAAATATTAAATTTAATCTATTAGCCTGAAAATTAAAACTAAAATAAAATCTTCAAGATAGAGTTTTCATTTTTAAAAATTCATTTTAAACTTAGGTATTGCATTTCTGTCAAAAAATAAATTTTTCTGAGTGTTCATGCTTGCATAATTTAATAAAACATGTTATTTTCTTTCAGACTGGACAGAAAAAATTTACACTTAATATTTATTTAAAAAAAAAATATTTGTAACTGTTTTTTAGTTTTTACGGTTATTAATTAACTAAATGTTATTGACAACTTGTAACAGCTTTTTACTGTTATTGTCTAGACAGTGTGAAAGTAACTTATCAAGATATTCAACAGTAGTGCAATTCTGAAATTAATCCACTTGGTTATGAGAAGTGTTCTCTCTTTTTCATTAAATAAAGACGTGTTTGAGGAATCAAAAAATTTCAAGTTTAATGCCATTTTCGAGTGTGAACTTTTTAAAAGAATTTTAATTTTTTATTTTTATTTTAGCAACTGTTAGATTAGTTTTTGTATGGATGTTCGAAAAGGAAGTAATTCTAAATTACTGCCTTTGAGCGACTACTTTTCATTATCAAAAAGTAATATATGATAACTCAATAACTTAAATTCAAAATAATTAAAGATGACTACATTGAGTGCAACTAGATATCTTATGACATCAAACAGATAAGAAAATAAAAAAAATATAAAAGCAATGTATTAAGCTGAAAAGTATCATTTCACTAAAAAAAAAAAAAAAAAAAAACTAATTCTAATATAGCATGAAAAAATAAAAGTAGTATTCATTCTAAATTTCATGAAATGAAAAAGTTATATTCTTAAACTATTGATTATATAAGGTTAAAGATATTTTTTAAAACATAATTACCAATTTCTCCATTATTGCATTGCGTGTCTTTATTTTTTTTTATTTAAAAAAAAAAACTAAAAAAAAAAACAAAAAAACTTACATGCATTTTAAGAAAGGGGTTGCAATTGATATTTAGAGTTGTTGACCTCTAACCTAACAGGCTACTGTACATAAATAAACATTATTTTCATTATGTTTTAAGCAAAAAAGAATTATGTTTGTAAAATCCAGTTAATCCTTAAATTTACTGACTTTGAGACAGATCTCTAGGACAAATATTGAATTTTTAAGAGATTTTAAATTTGTTGTGAAGCTTTTAGACTCACTATAATCTTTCAAATAAAATCAAAATTTAAGTTTAAAGAAGTCATTTAAATTATTTAAAATGAATTTTTCATTTTTTTTTAAAGGAAGTTTGTGGTAGTATCTAAATGATTTCCTTTGTAATCAAAACTAAATTCGAATTAGCTTTAACTAGGTCAATATTACTGATAATGGAAACCAGACCCCATCTTTCTAGGTTAGAGGTGAGGACACTTTTTGAATGCAATAGTCAATGTTAAGGTATACTGTTGGTAAAATTTTCATTTATATAACTGATATAAAAGCTCATAAATTATTCTAGTTAAAACAATTCTTGAATAAAGTCATTATTCATTGAGAAAAGTTTTTTCTTATAACAATAAAAAGCTTTTCTAATCAAATAATGTCTTAGTTTTGTTTTATTGCTGATATGTCCCCGAAAAGGGATATATTTGATCGAAGTAGGTAAGTGGTTTTGGCTACTGTAACCAAGTAGTACATGGTAGCAGTAATCGACTGGTACTCGTCGTAGTCAGTAGGTGTAGACCAATAGGATAGCCAATGGCGTAGTCCAATGGGCATCATCATAGACTTAAACTCTGTCGTACCTACATGTCTGTCTGTTTTTATGACAGACACAAGCCAATCATATTCCAGTGAGGGGGACACAGGTGTATGCATATTCCATTATATCAATTACATTTTTCATTTTACTATTCTAGGCAGATTTTTTGGAACTGGCTTTCCTGTTTGACCAAAATATTTAATTATTAATCTCAGGATTTAAATTCTCTGAAAACTTGTCCTTTATAATGTCTGTAAGCATTCAAAAAATGAATAAGACATTAAAAAATTTTGCAAAGATTTTATAAAAAAGAAACATCTCATTCATTTGTGAATAAATCCTGAAAGTTTCATTAAAATCCAACAATTATTTGACTCTTGCAAGAATTTCCAAAACTGTTTTTCACTGAGTGTAAAAAAAGATGCTAAAATTACTGATACTAATCTTTGGTTCCCCTCACTGACACATGAAAAACAAGATTTTTTAACCAAAATTTCAAACGTCCTAACAAAAACAAAATCACTTTATTAATCCAAAAATCCTTTGGACTTTCCTCTTATAGATTTTGATCATAAAACTGTTTTTATTAAGTTTTGGGCATCTTTTCATCATGGTATGTTCATTTTTTAGCGATTCTGTGGCGTTAATTGATTAAAAAGTGAAGAAAAATATTTTCAAAACATTGTTTACCTGTACATTCGTGCCACGGTCCACTTCTGTACAATGGTACCAATATTGTTTATTTTGAACTCCTCAACAATTCTATTTGAATTTGATGGTATTTATTTACATTTTACAAACATTCTCATGAAGTTAGGATGTCACACTACTCCCTTAGTGAGAGAGCTGCTTGATTTTGTCTAAAGGCAGAATACATCAACCTCTCTATTTTGAGGGTTGCGCGGGTCCAATTAACATCAGTTATCTTTGTTTTGATATTTTAGTTTGTGTTCATCCCCTCCCAGCTCATTTTAATTTCTTCCATAGATTTTTATATACAGTATTTATGATCATGAAATTTTGTCATGGGGTGCATTTTGTAGGTCCCCTGAGCATATGATGTATTATGGTTTTGCGGACTGGTGATTGTGTTTAAATTGATCAGAAGGAATTTCGAGGCTGTGTTCTACAACATTCGTCCACAACAATTATTTAGAACAAATACTTGGAACAAATCATGCAAATAAAGTTAAAAACAAGACAAAAGTTGAATGCATAACAATAACATCAATTTATATACAATTTAATATACTGTGGGTTTAAGATTTGATGGATAAATGAGGATTAGTGTATTTAATTGTGTATTGTGTTGTTGTGAATGTTTGGGGTGCGTTTGCAGGTATTGATTAGATTTGGTCACAGAATTAAACTGTTTGTTTGATCAACGTACAAAAATGTCCGGTGTTGAGGTTGAATCGTTAGTGTATGTACGTAAGTGTGTTTATACAAATATTCAAAGTTGTTCAAAGTTGCGTACCTTTATCTGCTTGAGAAAAATAGATTGTTAGTTACTGATTACTTGTTATGTAGTGAGAAATATCACTTTGAAAGTATAGTAAGTGAAGTTTTGAGAAATGTTCTAGAGAGAGATAGAGTGTGTGCGAAGGTTGCTGAGTCAGAGAATATTTTTACGTGGCAAAGTCAGAGTTTTTGACTGGCGTGGAGTTGATGGGCATCTCTCTAGGTGAAGAGGTCTGACTGGTGAATTGGACTGAAATTCGTCCTTTTATTTAGTTTGGGAAACCAAAGTAGGCTCTCAGTGGCCTGGCGGGAAAACAGATTTTTGACCATGGATAAACATTCTAGGGTCGTCTCGACCAATAACAAACCGAGTTTCACAATGTGTGGTGTTGATTGGTCAAAGCTAATTCTTATAGAAGAGTCTATTTTTAACGGGGGTGAGTAGACAAACATTGACGATTCTATAATGGTATATGGAGGATTAAGTGTTGATGGATAGGTTCTTGTAATGAACTGTAATAAATGAATGGGTCGTGAATCAGATTAGCTAGGTATAGGATGGTAAATGACGACCAGCTTCAACCCCATTTCCCCCCTTTTCAACCTTGTGCTGCAATTGTGTATCCTATGCAATAAACCTTGTTAGGTCATCACACAAAGACCAAGGTCGTTGTTAATGAGGAGTGCCAAAATGTGTACATATGAACCAAAGACAATAACTGCAGTCACACTATTATCGATGTACCACCAACCTTCCCTCAATAGTGCAATGAAGGAGGTGCCGTCACATGGAAACATCTGATCAAAAAGCTGGCCACTTAGGACAGTAAACCAACCACTATCAACATGTTCCTTGATTCTTCATGTTATCTATCATTAAGAAATTATTTGGTATATTGTTTTGAAGTATTTCTAGGAAATGCAAATAATTACTTAGATGGATTAAGTAAGTAGAAAATACACGTGAATGAAAATTTTAAACTACCTTTCTCGTAAGACAAATCCATTGTCATCAATGACTGGTACTTTTTGGAATCGATTTACTTTGGTAAATTCTTCATTAAAATGTTCTCCTGAAATGGTTAAAAAAAATATCAGTGAAATAAAAAAGACAATTTCATATCTTTTATTTTGTTCATATTATTCATGTTTTATAGTTTGTGTGTTTAAAGTCCAAACATAGAAGTAAAATAGACACTTTGAAGATAAAACTTTGACCTAAAAAGAAAAATTATGAGAGTTCTCTCCCTTGCTTTGTTATGTTAACGAGTATGACTTCGTGATTCGCCTTTTGTAATCGAAACGGAATAAGCAAGTATTTTAATTTTTAAAAAATATTTTTAAGTACAGAGAGAATATTCCATTGAATATTCCCCAAACGCATAGTAAATATCACCTTTCAATGCATTAGTTATACAATAAAAATAGAAAAAAAAAAAAAATTTCTAGAGCGTTTTTTACCTACTTAAAAAACGATGTAAAATCTAAGTTTCTACAAGTTAAACATTTTATTCTTTTTTATTAAATAGTTTTTACAATCAAGTCGACCTGCTGTCAAAAAACGTGCATCAATAAAAAAAGAAATGAAAACTGAAACTACAACCCATTAGGCCTCATTTTAACAGAACTTTTACAAAAAAAAAAAAAAGTGTTCTCAGTTTTTGACACTTTGATGATGGGGTTAAGAAACCGACTTCAGAGGTTATCTAAAGTTTGAACTTTGCCCTGACTGGATAAGTAACGTTTTTATTTTCCTAACACTAGACCGAGAGAGAGAAAAACAACTGTCTAGCTAGTAAATTTAAATTTATATTTACATTTTTATGTTTATATACATTCTTTTTAGATACAAATATTTAAGTCTGTTTATTTATAATAAACGGTAAACAACATTTACCGGCCTGAATGTCCTAGAAATTTTCATAGAAAATATTCGTCCTCCGACAGTATACACTGAAAAATAAAGTACAAGGGAAAACCAACAATGGGAAAAGCTGGTCATCTCTGTCCTGTCTTTTTAAACCTAGCTACTCACATAAAAAAAAGGGAAAAAGTTGTGCGATCTCTACTAGAAAAAGCAACTGAAAAGACGTCAATAGAATAGAAGAAAATGTGACAGACAGTGACACACACATTCAGTAGTCCGCTTTTAATTAGCTTGGTTTCAAACTGGGTCCTCAAAGTTGACGAACTGTGGGCCACAGTTACTGATTTCATGTGACACAGCAACAACAGGAATATCGACAATGTTTAAGAAGAAGCTTCGACGATGGGGGGAGGGGGTTGTCCCCAGATTTTTGCTGAAATGTAGAACTAAAAATAGAAGACAAAAATCGTCTTCAATGACAAAACTTTATGGTCATAACCTGTATCATTTGTACTTGTTTAAAAAAAAAATATCATTACTCAACTGCTATTAATTTCAAATAATTAAGAAAACTTCTTTTTCTGCCCCCACCCACCAAAACATAAGAAGTCTATATAAGTTACTTTCCAGAAAATAACTACAAGCAAAATTAAAAATAAAAGAGAAGTATATTTAAAATTAAAATCAAAACAAAATGATTTACAAAAAAAATGATGACGTTCATAGAGGCAAAAAAGGTAAACAAACAAAAACAGAACTAGAGTAGAATCTGGAATTTTGAAAACTTTATCTGGTTTACCCTCGCCACAACATTTTATTTTGTGGTGACCTGCATATTTAGTGGTTAGTTCGTTATTTTCATGGAATAACATGTAAAAATAGTGTAGATTAGTAGATGTATAGAACAAGGCTGTAGTGTAAATTATGAGCACACGTGAGGATCGAACTCACTACACAGTTGCATTTGACTTGCGAAACAAGATTACTCTCCATTTACACATCACGTCGAATTGCCTATGAAATGTGAAAATAAAAGTAACCAAGAGTTCAATTAATAATGTAAATAGTAATAGTTCTATAATATGAAAGATTTGTTTTTACTCCTTACGTGCATACGTTGAAAAAAAAAAAAAAATAAACAAAAATACTTTCCCACGTTTTTTTTGTCTCAGAAATTGTAGTGTTCATAGAGTTTTTAAAATATTTCACAAGATCGAGACTAACAACTAAACAATAAAAGATCAGGTGCCGATTCTGTTAATGGTAAAATCTGTACCACTTAAAATACGTGAAAATAAGTTTTGATTTTTGTTTGAGCATTAGAAATCTATGGTGCAACTAAAAAAAAAACAAAAAAAACTACTAACCTTTACGTAGAGCCACAACTTTATCAATAAATGGAATCTTGTTGACTTTAAGAAAAAGGTAGAGTGCCCGCGATGGTTGAGACAAAAGATCATAATACACTTTTAGGCCGGCCATCGTTCCTTGCAGTTGTGAATATTTTCCTTGGCTCCCCAAAGACGTGCTTGCAGTTGTGTAATGTGTTCGGTTATAACAAAAAAAAGTGTATAATTGGGTATGTTAAGTTATCGGAGTGATCTCCCTTGGTTGCGGGTATTCAAATCAGAAAGGCTACTTTCCACACATTTTTTTTTATTTGCAATATTCTCTCTTTTTGTGCCATATCCTTCAGGACATAGGTGATCATGGCTCTCCAAACCTTGCTTTTGCTTTAATACCTGTAAACTATGCAATGCTATGATTGTTCCTTGGAAAGATAGTGGAATGGCTTCCTGTTGTCTTATCTATTTTCAACTTGTATCACTCTTTATGATTTCATTTGCTGTACAAAAAGTTTATCCTGCCACTGAAGGTGACTCTGATCACTGAATGATAGTGTGTTTGAATTTCATAGTTGTGTTGTCATATCCTGCTATGGCAACAGAAAACAACTTTGAGTGAAATTAACAATAAGGATATTGTAATTGAGCACTGAGCAGCCTTGAATTGGAAAGGGAAGTAGTATTAATAATGTAGAGTGCTAAAGGTTAAATTTACTTTTCAGAAAAAAAATGCAGTAAATTTAAATGAAATCATTAATTCAATGTATGACAAGCAGCCTATTTAAAAAATGTTTGTAAAAATTATGGGGAATCTTAAGGAAAGAAATGTTTGCACATATAAATAAAGAAATGAAATTTGATACTTACTTCTATTTGCTATGTCCATTCAGGACAGTGGCGATCATGGCTCTCCACAATTTCCTGTCCTTTGTAGCCCTTAATAAATTTTATCTTTTTTTTATTTCTTCTAAAACCTGTTCTGCTATCCATTTACTCAAACTCACTAGGTAGGCTATGTATTGTTTTCCTTTGTTCCTCTTGCCTTCACTACTTCTGGGTATAATGATAAACTATATTCAGCAGCAAGATTTCTGATTGGGAGATTAGAGGTTTTGCAGAGTGTGGAACCACTACTTAATTGCTGTTGTTCCCCGGTCCACGCTGACCCGGAGTGGTAGTACCTGTTAGGATCCTAGCTATGAATAATGAACCCCAAACAAAAACTTTATGAAAGTATAAAAATACATGTTTATAGCAAAAATACCGGCAATACATATTCATATAAAAAATGACCAACATTACATATTTATAGTAAAATGACCAACAGTACTTATTATATATATTAAAATGACCAGCAATACATTTTATAGTAGAATTACCGATAAACTAATTTTATAGCAAAAAGACCAACAATACATTTTGTCTGTAGTTGAAGCTATAAAATAGTGTTCAAAATATTTAGGTTTTGGCATTAAATAACTCATAGAGATGTTGATATGCTGCTAAACGAAATCAACCAACCAACTTGCCTTCAATCTTGTGAGTATCAAATTATCCAAGCCCTCTTTCCTCATTATGTACCCTAGAAATTTCAACTGTGTCTTTATGATGTTAAGTATAAGCTTCCATTTTGTTTCCTTTTTATTTAAAACTTTGTTGTTGCTCACATGTTTGGTCCAAGGTATTCTCAGTATTTTTCTGTAGAACCACATTTCTATTGCTTCAAGTGTCTTCTTCATTTGTGAGGAGATTGTCCAGCATTCACTGCTATAGAAGAGGACTGATATTACATAACAGTTTAGTACTTTTTTCTTAGTTTCTAATGAAATTTTTTTTGAAGGCATTTCTCACTATCACAATGTGCTTTCAGATTTCAGTATTGCACTTTTCTTCTTCTGTTAAAACATTTCCCAGATATCTAAATTGTTGTACTTGTTTGATTTTGGTATCTCCAATTTGTAATTTGTATGTTGGGCTGTTCATTTTGCTAACAACCATGCATTCAGTCTTCTTGTAATTGATGTTTAGTCCTTTCTTCTCACTTTCCTTCACTAACTTCTGCAGGTGTTTTTGTAGTTTCCTTTCTGTGTCTGTTATCAATACTGTGTCATCTGCATATCTTATGTTGTTAGAATTATGTCAAGCCAATAATGAATCCATGTAAGACTTCTAATTCTTTCAGGATTACCTTACTCTATAGGTTGAATAAGTCTGGGAAGAAGATACATCCCTGTCTTACACCCCTTTAAATTTACTTTCTGGAAAAAAAATCAAGTTGATTTAAATGAAATCATTAATTCAGTGTAAGACAAGCAATCTATTTAAAAAACATTCTTAAAAATTATGTTAGATTTTAATGATAGAAATTGTTTGCACATATAAACAAAAAAAATAAATTAATACCTACTATAAAATAAAAATTATAAACCTCTCATATTATATAACACAAATCAAGGCATTAAATAGTAATAAAGATTCAGACAACTTATAAATTGTTTAAGTAATTACTACATTATTTTGTAGGCTAACTTGCCATTTATCTGATAATAGCTATATCACCACACACACACACACACACACACACACACACACACACACACACACACACACACATATATATATATATATATATATATATATATATATATATATATATATATTTGGGCTGCAACCTTTCTTTTAAACATGTTTTGTTGAATATGACACACAAGGAAAATTTAATTAAATTTTTATTTACTTTTTTCCAGTGTTCTTACATTTTTCTGTTTGAAGGAAGTGCAAAAAATGTCCTTAATTGTCCATTGTCCCAATCACTTTTGTCCACTTCTTTAGCCATTTTCAAAGGGGTTTGTTTTTGGGTGTTGTTAATTTCTCTTTATGTTTGACTGCTTAAGATGTGTTTTTTTGTATATATATATATATATATATATATATATATATATATATATATATATATATATATATATATATAAAACAAGAAATCTGGTAAATACTTAAAGATAATACAAAAATATTATGCCTTATAAAAAGAAATATGACTACAAAACATATATATATTTTTTAAGCAATTCACCCCAAGTTAAAGAGGGCGTGCCTCTAGCACACAAAAAGGGGTTTAGAGGATTGAGAACAAGAGTAAAGAGTCGTGCTTGAAGAAAGGATACAGAGAAGGATGGGGAACAAGATCAAGGTATCAGAAGATGTCGGTTGACATTACACTTGAATATTTGAAGATTATAGTTATCAAGGGCGAGGAAGGAAGTTCCACTGATGGAAAGTGCAAGAGAAGAAGCTGTTTGAGTAGAAGAGATGGTTACATTTAACCGATTTGGCAGTGAAATGGTGGGATTGAGATGCCAGTCTGGGAACCAGTGAAAGTAGTTAGAACAGTTGCTGTGAAAATACTTGTAGAAAAGACAAAGGGAAGGTACAGCATATCTGTGAGGAAGCCTTAACCATGGGAAATAAACAACCAAGCATTAATAAAATTTCATACAATTTATAGTAAAATGTATTTATTTTTTTGTTTTTTGATAGTTTCATTTCAAGGTTCACACTTTGTTTTGTAATATATGTCTTCATTTAAAATCTTGCAAGACCAGTGGATATTGCAACCAAGTATAAATATTTTTCTCATCTGTACTTGTAAGACCCCAGGATCCTAAATTGTAAAAAAAAAAAACGCTTGCGATGTACATAGAGAATATTCTGTTTTTCAATTGATTATAGATGATATTTGATTTGAAGATTTTCTTTTTTTTCATTAAATCCCAAGGAAAGCAATAAAGCCCGTAAGACGCAAGAGGTTACCAAGTGTGGGAGAACATGCTGATTTCATTTAATTTCTTTTTCATTTTGCTTATATTTTTTATGATTTTTGTTATAAGTATCCCACATTACATTATTGTTATTGATTTTCTCAACATTGTTCTGATATATATATATATATATATATATATATATATATATATATATATATATATATATATATATATGGGGGGAAGATATATATTTCTATAAGACATATATTTAAAAAAATCAATTAAAAAACAATTATATATTTATATATATAATTTGGTTCAATAACTAAAAAGCTATCAAAGACAACAATAACGATTTCTCTGTTGCTGCACACTTTAACCAACTGTTTCATAGCATTGATGAGATCAGATGTGTACTTTTAGTGTCTTTGTTTAAAAGCCAACATGAAAGACACAGATTGGAGTTAAAATGTATTTTCAAAATAGAAACACATATTAAAGGATTAAACAGGGATTTGGGTTTACTCAGAGAATATCGTTTCCTCGGGGAGACATATAACCAACAACAACAACATACCCCAGATGAGTGAGTCCCACTTCCTTGTTTATTTCTCATCTCCTTGAAAAAGAACACAGTTGTCGCCAAAAATTCCAACTCTAAATCTTTCTCTTTGTGCTTTAATTTAGTCAAAAGGCTAATATATAATAAATATCATCAATCTTATTGCTAATATTGTTATCATTTTGTTGTCTTTTTATTCCTCAAATTTCATTAACTGGCCTATTAAATCTACATATATATGTGGGAAAAATAGATACCAATTTTAGGGAAATCTGTGTTTATGTTTATGTGACTATAAATATGTATGAAGGAGAGAGGATGCTGAGAATTTAAAATTTAAATTAATTTTTTTTTAAATATGTTTTGTGTATATAAAAGAAACTAAATAAAATCAGCTAGATAGACTATATACACACACAAAAAAAAATTAAATTAAAAATTTTCAGTGTCCCCTCTCCTTCATGCACATATATAGTTACATAAAAATAAACCTAACATAGATTTTCCTAAAATTGTTCTTGATATATGAAAATTTATATGCCCCCTATATATATATATATATATATATATATATATATATATATATATATATTTAAGCATTTCATCCCAAGCCAGGCAGAAGTGCAACTAGCATGCAGGGGGGGTTACAGAGAATGAAAGTGAGAGAAAAGAGTCGGTGTAGGGGGGATTGAAGAAAGGAAAAAAGGGCAGGGATCAAGGCAACAAAAGATGGCGATTGACATTGTATTTATATTTTTGAAGAGTGTAGTTATCAGGGAAGCAAGTGAGAGGAAGGGAGTTCCAATGTTGGGA